AGAGTTCTTGTTCGAGGTCGTGGCTGCTGAAAGACTGCAAAGATACCTGCCACATCGAACATATACCTCGTATTACGGATTACGAGAATGGCACGCATACACAGCTGTCTTGGATGTTTTACGGCGGTTCCCTGAAGGGCAGTTAGATGTTGCCAAGAGCATTCTCAATCGCTTGCTCCAACCCTGGAAAGATCAACAACCACCAGTCGCCGTTAAGAGTCCCTGGAAAAAGACTCTACAGCTACAGGCAATCCTTTTGTTGAGCCATCGTTGCATCAGTGAGTCGGATGCTGATTCATATCTCGATGGACTCACGCATGCTCTGACACTAGAGTCATGGCCACGTTATCGCTATCTGCTCGAATGGGCGATAGCTCGTATTTATCGTCAGTTCCCAGGAAAGTCTTCGAGAATCATTGAGCAGCTGCAAAACTTGGACGAGTATAGTCCTATGCATATTGCTAGCTTGATCAAGCTTGGCCTCCTAGTCGCATCCTATGAGTCCGAGATGTTTACCGCCCAACTTATGATGCAGCTTAATGCATACTCGGCAAGTCCGAAAGTTCAGATACGCCACGAGGCGAACTTTGCGTTTCCGCTGGTCTTTGATCTCGCGACCAAAAAGGGTTGGAAGACAGTCGTCGAAAATCCTGCGCTCTTGTCCATGGATACCTTTATCAGACGTCTCGACAAGTTCAGTGCTTCGCCATGGACGATAAGAACCTTGAAGGTCGACATCGAAGCAGACTTCACCATGGTCGGTATTTTCCAGGGGCGGTACCTTTCAATTGAATCGCCAGAAGATGAGTTGGTCACGTATGGAGATTTCGAGGAGCTTGAGTCGGACGATCAAGCGATGCATATCGCCTCTCCTCCCACAATCATACAGTTGGGCACTGCGCCAGGAAGACAGGCTACTAGCGATGAACCAGCGACCGTAGCTCCTTCAGCTGTGTCTAATGAAGATCAAAACAGCCAGATCACACTACAAACGAAGGCTGGCATCGATTTAGACAACCTCCATCCAGCGTCTGGCCCACCAAACATGCAAAACCGGCGGCCCGCGTCTGTCATGCTTGTCGCATCCCTGATTGACAATCCCACAAACCTCGGAGGTCTCTCGCGTATATCCGAGTCTTTTGGGCTGGAGGCTCTATACATCGATGATCTCAAGAAGGTTGCGCACAAAGACTTCAAGGCAACGAGCGTAAGATCAGAGAAGCACCTTGCCATCAAGGAACTCAAAGAAACGGACGTTCCCGCATTCTTGTTGGAAGCGAAGAGCCAAGGATACGAGGTTGTGGGTATCGAACAAACAGACCGCAGCGGTATCTTGGGTTACGAAGGCGTCGATGGCGCATACCTGGGTAGTGATGGTGACACAATTGAAGTTGTCCGTAGTCAAGACGTTGGAACGCTCCCCAAAAAGTGCTGCCTGGTGCTCGGAAGTGAGAAAGAAGGTATCTCAGCCGAGGTACTTGCAGTCATTGATCGCAACGTGGAAATAAAGACTGTGGGCGTGACAAGAAGTCTTAGTAAGTTCTGATTCTCTCAAACCTGTGTATGCAGTTGTGAACTACCCTCTAACACCATTTTTGCAGACGTGCAGACGGCGGGCGGTATTGCGCTGTATGAGTGGTGGAGGGAATGGGGGGAGATGTCCAATTAAAAACGGTGACTAGGGAGCGACAAACCCTTTTCACATCTGTAAACTCCAACTCTTCATGAAGCCTCAAACCCTCGTGCATCCTTGGTCCCTGGTCATGCCCCACTTACTCCTGTGAACGGTACTCACTGATCAACGCTAGGCCTCTGCATCCACTTGTGGAGCTACTGCAAGATCACTAGGCTCATACCTTTCGAGTCGGGTTAGTGTAGTCACGGAGCTGCGAAGATGAGGCAGGTGCATTGTAGATGCACTATTGTATCAAGGACTACAGTGAAACAGTACGCTTCGAAAAGCCTCAGACATAAAATATATTCCAGTGTATAGGTTGAGTGTGGGTGGTGGTGTCCGATGATGGATGAAGTTGGTCTAGGTAGCCATTGGCGATACTACTACTTATTACTACTATAGACACACGTCCTCAGTCCAGACGCAGAACCCCACAAAAATAACAACGCGTCCACGTTGGAACACGTCAGGATTTGACCCCTGTCTCGAACGCCCTTATGCGACAGGAATAATAATTCAAACGACGTAGAAGGGACACATCTGGCGTTGGTGCTGTACGACGGTGAGGCATATCTTTGCCAACTCAGGCGTGCGTGGAGGCATCTCGCCCCCGCCAAGCAATGTGAAACTGCGCTCAAACCCATCCTCTCCTGCACCTCTTCGAACCACCCCTACTCTGCCCCAAGATCGCCGAGAAATACCCAGCCGTCACTCGCTCTTATTGTGTGAGCCTGTTTCAATCAAGCAATACGACTCTCCGCTTAAGCCTTCTCCCCCGTTGAACCGAAGCTCCTACAAGCATTATTCCGTTGCAAGATCCAACGCCAAGATGGGGCTGGTACAGTCGCTGAAACGGTCCTTTCAGCGCTCCTTGTGCGCCACAGTACGCGTGAAAATATAATAATTGGGACTGCCCACAATGAGTCCTCGATGAATGAACCAGATTACCTTATCAAAATGCCTTTCATGAACTCCAAAGGTGCGACGACGCTCGGCCACACTTTCCGGTAAGCTATAGTGAAACTCGGGACGATATCTGGCTCAACGGCTAACCATATGCAGAAACTTTGACCAGACTATCATCACAGTCAAAGTTGGTGCAAAGGAACATCCCGAGTCTTTCAGCTGCCATCGCGAACTTTTGAGGAGATGCTCGACATACTTCAACACATGCTTAGAAGAGCAGAGCAGCTCGCCTTACAACTCCTCTAGTTTGACGCTTGAGCTAGAGGATACCAGTCCAGACGTCTTCGATGCATTTATGCTTTGGCTTTATACAGGATTCATCCCGCATCACTTGATCGAAGGTGGCAAGGAGATTCATCCTCCAACACATGCTATCAGTGTCAATGGAAGCGACAGCACCAGTGCTCCACCTACAGAGCAAGGCGAAGGCGACGATGTAGATACTGCCTCATGGGGCATCGCTCTGGATGACGAAACCCCTGCAGATGGCGCATCAGCACCCGCCGAAGCAACGAACAGCCCAACAACAACCAGCGCAGAGAAGGTACAAGGGGAAGTTGAGGTTGAAAAGCCTCCGGTAGTACTACCTCCTCGCAACCCCGCAGAGAAGCCCGAGATACCCAAGGAAACACTATGCCCATGCTGTTCACGACCCTACAAATGGAGGAGTTTGGAAGGATTCCTCGAGCGCCGCTTCATATCGCTCTATGTATTCGCGCACAAATACTCAATTCCCAAACTAAGCCGCGCTGTCATTCTCGCATGGCAAACAAACGACGAGATTCTGCAAGTCATGCCCGACCACAGCAACGTCATTGCCGCATACGAGAGTCTCCCTCCAGACGCACCACTGTGCAGGTACTTCCTCGACATGTACTCTGTGTACTGGAACCCCGATCGCGATGACGAACGCACCATTCCTCTGCGAAGCCATCTGCCACAAGCTTTCCTATTTGAGCTGGTCACCATGCTAGCAAGAGGCGAGCGACCAAAGATGGAGAAGGAATGGTGCGAGTTCCACGAGCACGAGAGCGAAGAAGAGAAGAAGGCTTGCCTGGACGATTTAGCCAAGGATCCGATTGCGAGCAAGGCGCTCCGACGCATCAAAGATAGCAAGGGCTGGAAGGGTCTAGTGCTCAAGAAGGGCAAGAGGTGATGAGTTCACGACAGTCTGTATACCAATAGCATACGGAGGAGTTATTATCATGACCGGCGTTTGGAACTCAGCTGCAGCACCATTTATATGGAGCTGAGCGATTCATTCAATACAACATACTTTTTTTTCGCTTCCTCAAGTCACATGCGCACCGCCACCACCACCGTCACCCTTTCCACTGTTTGCAAACATGTGATCCCGCCGGCTAAAAATAGGTCCTACTACTTCCCCATCTCTCTCCGGACTTCGTGTTCAACCTCGTGTTTTTTTTTACACTTCAAGCTGACCCGCGGCCCGGGAACGGCGGGGAAACACGAGATCCCATGATCAAAGATCACGGATTCAGCTACAACTGAGGTCTTTTGCCAGCAACACCCCACTGGAGATTCCCATTCGCTCACTCCACAAACAATCGATACTTGGCTACTGCGCGCCGTGGCGCGGGAAATACGGATGTTCAATTTTCTTGGGTCAAGAAACGCCACTTTACCCATTGCGAAATCTGGGGTGTTGCGGCTGAGGCTTTTGGGTTTGAGCGGGAGGGTAAGTAAAGAGAGAGCTGTCAGCTTATTATTGGGGACGAAACTTTATGTCACTGGACCCTGGGGTGTTAGCTTTCTTTTGGTGACGAGCAAGCAAACGCTGAGGTGGTTTGAGATTTATTGCTTGCTTTCTATGAAGTATGGATGGGAAACTCTGGCAGGATGGTGATGATTGGGAATTACATGATGGTAATGCATTCCTTTGCTGGATTGAAGCTTAACTTGAGGGCCAATCCCCACAGCTATCCCCAAGCGAGTCCACGCTCGTATGCCCGTCACGCGCAGCGGAACAAGTATCGTGTTTTTTTTGTTTCAATAGTTCTTCGATGAAAAGCAATGCACCAAAGTATACGAAGAATGCGAGAAACAACACCGCCACGTCCGAACTCAGCTTGCCTTCCCTCCGACTCCGCTACGCATCTACGGGCCTGTCAGACTTGGAGTATGCAGCGGGATAATACGCACCCGCTCACTTACCCATCGACTACTCGAAGCTTAAAATAGACATCTCATAGGACGTCATACCATCCGCTCGCGGATATATAAACTACCTTTTCCACCACCCCAACATATCTCCACCCCATCCACCCAGCGCTACATCTTTAACAACCCACTACTTCGACACATTCGCTCAAACAACCCCATAAACCTTGTAATAACCATGAAGTCCCTCACCATTGCCCTCTTCTCCCTCCTCTCCCTTGCCTTCGCCGGCGAACCCGTATGCCAACAATGCGACTACCGCCCCGGCTACAATCGCTGCGACATCACGACTTCCTGCACATATGTGTGGGGTCATGATGATCCGAGTACGCCTGCGCCGTATTATTGTGCTTGCAGGGCTGGATATCGTACGTCTTCCCTTCTTCACTTTCTACCAAACGACCCAACTTTGTGAGGTTAGTTTCTCGATATGCGGGTGCTAACGCAAAAAAAAACAGGCGCAGACAATTGTGACGCTGGCGACTCGACCCAGCAGTTCCGTCTCCCCTGGTATGGAACGCCAGGTGGTGACCCGAGTCAGCAGGGTAGAGTGTTTGTGAAGCCTGGTGTGTCGTGTAATACGCTTTGTGATGATTATACGCTTGGTAAGGATGGGTGTAAGGCTGTGAAGGAGTTGGATTCGTGTTTGTAAAGGTGAGGTGGGTGAGATGGCCTGGGGATCTTGGGATCTGGGGTGATGTACTGGGGATTGTGGGGTTTGGGCGAGGTTTGAAGGGGCTTGTATATATTGTTATAGTGACGAAATGATGATTGAGGTTAATGAGTGCTGTGGTGTTTTTGAAGGATGTGCTGTGTGATTGGTGGTGATGGAGTGATTGGCCTTCCGATTATGTTTGTGCGTGGCTTGCTGAATCGATGGTGACTCAATAACTGGTCAAAAGACTTGAGTGACGGACTTGGGCTCGATTTCGATGTTGGTTGAATAGTATAGGGGATGGGCAGTGGTCGTTCTGTCGAAGATAAAAGGTTTTGTAAGTGAGTGGTCTTCTTGAATAACTTGGAAGTAGGAATTGGATGTTCAAGCACACACCGCTATCCCTGATAGAGTATAACTTGTGTCATTTGTAACCTCACATCCACCAGATAAGACTGTCGAAGTGCCACTGATTTCGACCGCGTTCAAGCCACAGATAGCAGAAATTCTGAAGACGTCTTGCCTAGTCCCTCATTCAGTCACGTATACAATAATTGTGATGTGCTTGAAGCTTGGAAATTCCGTTTCACTTCATACGCTAAACTACTTTGGGTATCAACATAGTGAAAGCAAACGCTTTTTTCACAACAGTGCTCGACTACAGTACACAATGTTCACTGTTTACCTATATTCCCCTTCTATAGCAACACCATTATATCCCTCCTAAATTCAATCCCCACAACTCCAACCCAAATACCTTCTTTCATCACAGTACGATATCCTATTGACCTGAGAAACCACCTCGCACAACCACAGCCATGACCTCTGGGATTGAAGACCGCGACGCGGTCGACGAGCTATCTTCTCTCTCACTTGAGGATCACTTCACCCCAACTCAGCCAGGGAGCCTACGATTGCCTTTCCCGCCAAGTATCCGTCCACTTCCAGATGACCATACTTCCACCCAGCCCAGCAGGCTTCGGCTTCCTTCGCCCCCACCAACAAAGCGAATCAAGAACGATTATCCAGCTGAATATTCCGACTCCGACAGCATCTCGTCCATCTCCTCAACCCCTCCATCCCCAGACCTAACCCCAGCCCCATCCCAAACCTCACCCGAAACCCTCTCACCCTCTGAGCAAGCCTTACTCCTCACCCGCATTCAATCAGGCCTATCCTACACGCGTATCCAACACTCCCTCAACCTCCCCATAACCCAAACAACCCGCTTCTCCCTCTCTCCCTTATCCCCCTCCCACCTCCCTGCCCTCCGCCTGCTCCGCAAACACGCCACTCGCATCTCGTCCTCCCCAACCCACGAAGTCTACGAACTAGGCATTCCACGCCCGGACTGGGTGCAAGAAGGCGCGATAGCGGGTGTGCACGATGCGCAGTGGTGGATGGGGAAGAGTCGGGCGGAGATTAAGGCGGGGCCATGGGCGGATGAGGGGGATGTGAAAGTTGCGGAATCGAGGATTCGGGGGGCGGAGACGAGGAGGAGGAAACGGAGGGGTGGGAAGGTGGAGAAGGAGAGGGAGTGGAAGTTGAGGGAGGGGGTTAGGTTGGCGGAGATGGAGCGGGGAAGTGAGGGGGAGAGTAGTGATGAGGGTGGGGATGAGAAGATGGATGGTGTAGTGGAGGAAGAGGTGGGAGAAGATGAAGAGAATGAAGAGGACGTACAGGAGGATGAACAAGAAAAGGTGGAGGTGGAAGAACAAGAAGAGGTGGAAGAACAGCAAGAGGATGAAGAGAATAACGGGGATGCGATGGAGGGTGTTGAATATGGCAATTCGGAACCTCCGGCACCGTCTTCAAGGAAATTGAGGAGCCAGGGTAGTCCAGATCCCACAACAGGTTCAGGTCCAGAGTATACGCCTTCTTCAATGACGTTGAGGAGCCAGACCGGTACGAAGTCTTCGCCATCTTCGAAGAAGTCAAAGAGCCAGGTTGGTTCACAGCCTTCGCCTTCTCCAATGAAGTTGAGGAGTCAGGGCAGTGCAGAGCCATCGACAGACTCAGAGCCTCCGACGGGTCCGAAGCCTTCAACGCGCTCGAGGCGTTTGAAGAGCCAGGTTGATTCGGAGTCTTCACCATCATCGAAGAAGCTGAAGAGCCAGGATGGTTCAGAGCCTTCAAAGACATCGTCAAGGAAGTTGAGGAGTCAGGGTGGTTCAGATTCTAGGCCGTCTACGCCGTCTTCGAGGAAGCTGAAGAGCCAAGGTGGTTCGAGCTCTTCGCCTTTAACTATGCGCTTGAGGAGTCAGGGTGGGGTGGACTCTCTGTCTTCTTCGAGGGTCTTGAGGAGCCGGAAGATGTAAGCGGGTGAGAACGGCATCTCTCTTAGTTGTGTTTTGCATGTCGGTTAGTCAAGTCACTAGGAAATTGTTTTAGGAGTTGAAGGTAGGTATCTGGCGTTAAAGGTTCACGATTACCAAGTCTAATATTGATTATCAAAAACCCCAAAAGTTTCTCATCAAGTGCAAAAAAAGTCACGGTGAAAGTCATGTAAAAGTCCAAGTATTGAAAAAGTCAATGAGCTTTGTATTCAATATGTACAAGTTCGCAGCACCGCTGCCAAAGAAGGTATAATACTTATAGATGCAAAAACAAACAAAAGAATCAGGCCAGATACTTCAAGATCGTCCAACTATCCGTTTTTTTTTGAAATTCCAGAAGGCAAAACCCCCCCTTGATCGTTTCAACATCAAAACGGGACATGTCTTCCAGGAACTCCTACTCTCGAAATCATCCAGAAAAGAGACTTTTTTTTCTACTTGCGGAGAGATTGGCGGAAAGCATGGCTGCCACGCCTAGCCTTCTTGCCACCCTTGCAAGGACGCTTGCTGGTAGCAGGAGAAGCAGGGGTAGCAGGGGCAACAGGAGTAGGAGTGGGCTTGGAAGCCTCCTCAGCGGGGTAATCACCACCAGCAGGGTAATCACCTCCGGCAGGGTAGTCGTCGGCAGGAGCCTGCTCAACAGGGGTAGCGGGCTGAGAAGACTGGGGCTGAGGAGCAGCAGGAGCCTGGGGGTTGGAGGCACTACCACCGGCAGCAGCGGAGGGAGAGGGAGAAGCAGAGGGAGCGGCAGAAGGCGAGGTAGCAGGGGGGTTAGCAGGAGATTGGGCACCGCCGCTGTTACCGCCGGTCCAGACGGTCTGCGAGGGGAAGGGGAAGTCCTTGTATCCGCCCCAGACGCTGAAGTTCCAGGAGGGATCAGTCTTCTTGTAGCCGCCAGGGAACTTGATCATGGGGCCTGGGGTGCCGGTGCCATCGCCAGTGACCTTGATCTGGGCGCAGCCGTAGTAGAACTCGGCTTGGCCGTCGTGGGCGCCGTGGACACCGACGTGCTGGGAGCGGACGAGGTATTCACCGGGAGGCGTGCCGACGGGGATTTCGAACTCGATGTTGTTCTTGTCCCAGGTGCACCAGGCGTCGCCCTTGATGTCGCCCTTGGTGCAGAGACCGGTTTGCTTGATCAGGAACCAGTCACCGTCGCCCTCGTACTCCTTGACGGAGCCGGGAGCCTTGGACATGTGGACGCTGGCTGGGCCTGGGTGCTTCATGGTGGCCTGAACACCGAGCTTCATGGCCAACTTGGTTCCAGGCTTGACCTCAGCGACGCCGGTGCGGGCGGCGGAGGAGAAAGCACCCTTGTTGCAGCGGAAGTCGGTGTCATCGGGGGTGATGTTGTCGAGAGGGTTCTTCCACTTGGTGGGGTTGTACTTGATAGAACGAGTGTTCTCACGAACGAACTCGTAGGGCTTGGTCTCCTTGCCATCGATGACAAGAAGCTCGAAGAAATAGTGGGCGGAGGCGATCTGCGCAATGGCAGCAGCGGCGAGGAGTGAAAGCTTCATGTTGAGTTGAGGTTGAGATTGAAGTTGGTGATGTTGTTTGAAACTTGGGCTGGAAAGTGAAAAGAATTGTATGGAAGGACTAGCCTTGAGAAACGAATGAAGTAGCGAAAGACTGTGGAGAAGCGAAAGAAGGTTGGCAGTGAAGTGCTGGTGAGGCTTCAGGGACGTTCTACACGACTTCTTATGTATCCCGTCACTTGCCTCTGTTCAACGCCTCAGTCAAGCTCACTAACTCTTTTCAGTGCCCATGCCCACCAACCCGCCCCTCGGTGTCGAGCACTTCTTTACCATAGTGCCTTAGACGCATGAGGTTTTGTTTCCTTGGCGGCAATCTCGACCCACCATGCCCGCCTGTCTGTGACGAAGCGAGATGACAACATGGGCCGTGGGAGGTGATTGTAGTAGTATTCGGTAGCTTGGCGCGTGTTTAGCGGAACCAGGTCGCCGGGGGGCGTGGGTCTGGCAGCAGAAAGTGCTAGGCCCGTCAGTGTTTCAAACGGGATTCCTGGCGTTCGGTTACTTGGCGTTGGTGGCGTCTGTCATTTGTGAAGATAGTGTAAGCCGTTCCATACGCCTCCAGACGTCTATGCGTCACCGAGCAGACTGCGGAACGAGGTGTTTACGAGGCTTGATGGACCCATCTGTCCCAGCTAGGCTTGTTTGTACGAGAAGAAACACGCGATGGTGTTTTCCACCAGTCAGTTTTGTTTCGTGGGGCGAGCAATTGCCCAAGCATTTTTCCCATACGTGCAACGTTTGATGCTAGGAAATGACGGGGATAACGCATTACAACCACTTAGCAACAACCTGGCCGGGCGGATCCGGATTACACGACGGTATTGCACAGCATCACCGAGCCTCCGCATGGTGTTCAACGCTCTTTCGTATGCGCGCGCATGGGTGTGTGATAGCAGGGGAAAGAGATTGGGCAACCTCGAGCACAACGGGGGGATGGAGGAATAGGATGAGCACTGGACATAAGCGTGAGCATACATCAACAGCCTTATGTAGTCGCTTTGCTATAGACATGTACATAAGATTTGCGATGCCCTTGAGCGGGATTGAGTTATTTCGAGCTGTTAAGACGCCTTCTGCAAGTAACCGGACCAGTGTGCAGCGATGAGGCCCAAGGGGTGGCCGATTGGGTTTCTCGGGTTGGCAGGCGCGCGACTCCTGGATCAGAGCCGGCGCGCTGGTCCGGCCGCTAGCGCCGCCCCACGTTGTCCAAAGCGGGTGCGCGTCTAGAACAATAACTTTTAGCGTGTTTCCAGTCCCGTAGCTTGTTTCAGAGCCGATGCTTGGCAAAACATCTGCCGAATACAGACAGACACATGTTTTGCAGTCCACTCCAGGCTCAGGTCCGACCGTGTCAGCGGAGGGAGGCGGAGTGCCAAGCCAAAGCTGACAGACCGAGCGGAGCACAATTACAGTATCGAAGGGAGATACCTAAAGGCACGTAGACGGACCAGCAGCGGGTTGAGTAAAATGGGCCACATGGTTTCGTAAAACTTCAACCCAGGCATACAGGGTAGAACAAGCAGCCAGAGCCAAGAAAATAGATTGCAGTTTGATAGGCTTGGTTCATGCGGGATAGACATATTGTGTGGAGTGCAGAGTCCCATGCATTGCACCCACTTATCATCCTATTCTGTAGCCAATCCCAGAGAGATTCTCGTCGCGTAAACCTACCCTCAAGTGGTGGAAGATACGGGTGACGGGACATGCAGGTACTTGGCATCAGCAGATCCTATATTGACGGCCTACATATAAAAAAAGGCGCCACAACGCACTGGCCCGCGAGGCGAGCATCGATGCTGTATGGACGGAAATAGTAAATGCACACGGAGAGGTTCAAAAGTACCGAGTCTTGGTATTGCATCATTCACGGCTGGACGGCGTATCATGAACAGCAGTACTTGTGTCGTATGTTTTAGGTTATGCTGTTAGTACCCCCGCCGTGTATATCCCATGTCGTCTCATTAGAGTTGTGTACGATTACATTTGGGAGCGAGTCTCTAGGCTATCACGCCACTCTCCTTTTGAAGAAAACGGCTCAAAACGAAAACCGTTAAGCAGCAAAAAGAAAAAAAGGAGAAGAGAATACACGACAACACCTGACGAGTTCCCCGGACTTGCCTCAGTCACTATTGTTTCTCAGCTCCAGTAAAATAAGCAATCAAGAGCAATACCGCTTTTCTGCGTGAAGCATTTTCCCGTTACTCAAAAACACCTACTAATGCATCGTAATTCAACAGAACGTCTTTCCAGTTCAACAACGACTAACGTTTACTCGTCATCCTTTCCCGCCTCCTCCGCCTTCTTCTCCCTCCATGCCTCCTCTAGCTTCTTCACCTTCTCAACGCCCTTCTTGTTCCCGACGCTGTTTTCCCACTCTACCCACTTCTTGAACACGCCCCTGATCCTCGACGATTTGCCCACTTTGGTCATCCTCTCGAACAAATCGCGGACCTTGTCAGCTTCGCCGTGGCTCTGCTCAAGCATCAGATACATGTCCCATACATCTCCCTTCTTGGCAAAAGTGTCAACGAGACCCTCGAAGATGGTGCGGCCGCGCTCAGTATCGCCATTGGGCGACTTGAATTCCAGCGC